AGGCCTCGGTGCCCGTCCACCAGCATCCTCACCACCAGCAGCCCATTCTGCACACCCGAGTTGCCCCTGCGAGGATGCGGCCATGTGGGCGCCTTCCTCCCCAGGTGCACAGCTCCCCTGGACCCGCCCAGCCCCATCCCTACCCTGGCAGGCCCTGCATGGCACGGATGGCGGCGGGGATGGCAGCCAGCAGGCCGGGTGAGCCCTCGCCGCAGGCAGAGCCGATGCTGGCAAAGATCTCCCGCATCATCTGCGCGTCGGCGTGGCTCAGCAGCGACGGCTTCCCGCTGGCACCTCCAGCTCCCACCAGCACCTTCAGGGCCTGCATGGCCCACAGCGGCTCAGGGGGCGGCGGGCACCAAAGCGGGCCCCACCAATCCCTGAACTCCCGCACGCACTCACCGCCAGGCCGGCCTGCTGCACCAGGGCCGAGGCCGCGTGCTGCCGCATGCAGGCCAGCACCGCCCGCACACCTCCCTCTGTGGCGAAGGGCACACACCAGTCACACCTCTGCATCAGCAGGGCCACCAGCCGCAGCACCAGCGCCACCGGGCACGGCTCGGCCTCCTCAGCACCCAGCAGCTCCATGACCGCCTTCACCAGCTTCTCCCTGCGCGGCCGAGGACACCTCAGCAGGGAACCCGCCTTCACCTGCCCACGTGGCCCCACCGTGCTCGGATCGCCCCACGTGAGCCCACCTGGGGCACAGGGACGCGAGAGCCGCCCCTCTCAGCCCCGCACCTGGTCTCCGGCCCGCCCTGGGCCTTGCTGCAGTGCTGCTCCTGCGCCTCCTCCAGCACCTTCACCACGTGCCACAGCCCGGCCACGCGCAGCTCTGCCTCGCAGTCACCACGCAGGATCGCGTCCGCCACGCGCTGCACGTCGGTCAGGCAGCCGCCCTCGCAGCCGCCCCACGCTGCAGGAGGAAGGGAGGCTGCGACATCGCCAGCAGCACCCGCGGCAGCTCCCAGAGATGGGCCCGCAGCCCCGGCACCCGCCGGCCTCCTCCCCCGGGCCGCCTCCAGCGCCCGCAGCCTCCCTCCGTCGGGCCCTCACCTTCGCTCTGCTCCTCCGCCTGCGGGAAGTGCAGCCCTTCCCTCTCCAGGAGCTCACAGAACAGCTGGGAATCCGACCTGAGGGCCGTGGCTGTGGAAAGCTCTTCCTTCGCCACCTCGGCCGGCACAGCTCCGGGGTCATTGCCATCTGAGCACATTGTGGCACTGTCCCCGCCGCGCCTCTCGGCCGCACTCCCCGCCAAGTACTTGGCGTAGACACGGGAGCCGCGCAGCTCGCTCTGAGCGCTGCCCTGAAGCCGCTTCTCCAGGTGCTGCAGCACCTTCTGGGCCAGCTCCGCAGGGACCGGCAGCTGCAGCAGGGCGTCCTCGGCCGGCTCCGGCAGCTGCGTGGATGGGGATACGTCAACCCACACAGACACACCATGGACCCCACGCCCCTGAGACGGCCCGGGCCCAACCAGACACAGGTGCTGCACCGGCACAGAGCCCCGGACCCTTCCCCAGCACCACGTGCCCCTTCCTCGGGCTTCCCCGTGCCGCTCCAGCCCATACCTGCTCAGTGTGCTCCTGCTGGATGAGCCGGACGATCTCCTCCTGCTCCTGCGCTTCCAGCTTCTTCACAAAGAAGAGCAGCTCCCACCACTCAGCGCGGCTCAGGGTCGCTGCAGCTCTGCTCGGCTGCTCCCCCAGGTAAGGCAGCGAGTACAGCCCCCCCGGGGGCTTGGAGAAAAGCGGCTGTGCAGCTGCAGGACAGCAGAGAGAAGAAAGGCACCGTCAGCCCCGCCAGCTTCCCTCCGCAGAGCCATCCTTTGCTGCACAGCCCTCACTCCCACAGCAGGAACTCGTGAGGACCTCCCCGATCCCGTCCCAGTGATGGATAGGGAGGTGATAAGAGGGCAGCAACAGGCAGGGAACACGCTGGACACAGAGCCCTAGAGTGGGGCAGGTGGGGACTGCAGTCTTCTCTGAAGCCTCTTGGGGCCGCAGAGCAGAAGCCCATGGACCACAGGGCTTACTGTTCTGCCAGACTGCTCCTACAGGGCCTGTGCCAGGACATGGCTCAGGCTGCAGCCAGGAGAGCCAGTCTGTGCTGCTCAATGGTCAGTAAGAAGAGAATTCTGCCTGGAGTTTCTCTCTTCCCAACGCTTCTTGCTGGCAAACAGGAGAAGTACTCATAGGCAAAAGGAGACTGCGTATCTATCAAGCTCCTTTTCGCTAATTCTTTCAAAATGAAGAGAGGGAGACAACATTTGTTATTAGCCTAGATTTTCACTGGATCATTTAGAAAAACTGAACCAACACTTAATAACTGCTAAGCAACCATTTGCAGCTCTCTGCAAAAGCAAGTTAGGAGACATTCACTTCTTCAAGATTCAATAGAAGAGGGTCAAACAAGCCAAGAAGCAACAAGCAACTATATGCATGGTTGATTGCCAACAGTTAGCCAGCAAAAGCAGATTTATTCAGGTGTCAAGAACCAAAGCAGAATGCATCTGTTTTTTCATTTCAATTTCTGTAGGATATGATGAGTGCACACAGCTTTACAAAGAACCGAAATAGAGCACATACTTCTACCAAAACTTGAGTTATGGAGAAAAAAAATTTAACCAACTTCATTTGAATTCAGCCAGTTCAAACTGACACGCAGATAGCTAATCTTTAGGTACAAGAGTCAGAAGTCAATCAAGTAGCCATCTTTTCCACTGGCAATAAGAATGTTTCAGAAGTGGATCACTAGCTGCTCTCATGTATATCATCTCTTGCAGCAGTTAAATCCTGACCAAATGATCAAGGGCTTGACGAAAGAGTTACTTCATCAAGTACCCTAGCCTGAGTCACATTAGATGCTGAGCAAAAAGGGGGTACTTGAAGTATAGGTCCTCCCTTTTATCCTCACCCAGAGTGAGGACTACATCAAAGGATCCCAATCCCAGGAGATTCTGCAGATGTCTTTTGAAATAAGTGCATTTCACACTCATCTTTCCCAAAGCTGAGTGGCATGAAGTTAAACATGAAGTTGGTGTGTTAATGCTTTTAACAGTGAATATGAAGGTCTCTAAGGCAGACTCACCTCTGAGAGTCTACACTCTTATTTTGGCAGATTGTTTAGCTAATTCTAACATGTATTTTTGAGAGAGTTAAAATCAAATTTTATACTCTTTATTGTATCATGACAGAAGTCGAGAATTCAAAAATACTATAAGCAGCTACATGTGACCACTTAAAAAGCTCTGCACAATCAAGCTGCTAAATTCAGCCTACTAAAGAAAAACACACCTAGCCATATAAAGTTCACCACTGAAAAACGTGCCATAGTAGAATCAAAAACAGATGATACAGACACACACAAGCAGTGCAAAACCTCACCTTTGTCTAGATTAAAGCTCTCTATCAGATTATACTCTTTGTCCTGACCACCAGGATCATCCCGCTCCTCTCCAAAGCCAATAATCTCCAACATGTGCCAATGCATCCAGTAGGTCTGACCTGTTGACTGCCACAAAACCTAGGGGTGAAACAGATTAGGCAGTCAGATTTGCTCACTCACTCATGTTCGTTCTGCTGCTGGGAAGACAAAAAGTTCAGATGCTGAGAGACTTCAAGAAAGCCCCAGATGGAAGGAAACTGAGTTAAGCCATATACACAGCACCAATTAGCCTTCAAGAATCCCTGACCCAAACTGGCAATACATCAAAACTAATCTCAAAGGAGTCATTTAAGGAGTCATATAAAGGACTGAAGGACAAGAAATGATGGCAAAACTACACAACACTGCATCCATAACATGGAAAGGTAAAGAAAGCAATAGAAACCAAAGCAAAGGAAAGGAGAGATGAGAGACTCCTGAGAGGCTGGTCCCAATGAAAAACACACATAAGTTTGCATTTGGCACACAGAAGGCTGACAAGAAGACAGGCAAGCTGACAATACAAAGCAAGTATGAGTCACAAGACAAAAAGTTTCTAAGAGGAACAGAGATATAAATCAAGTTTCCCTTCAGTAAGAGAATGATAGCAAAGGTCCAAGACAGCAATTTAGAAATGACATTACAAAGATGATTTTGAGATGCCTGATCCTTGATATCTTCCCATGGAAAGAAAAATTCTCAATGAGTTTGAATCAAAAACTTCTCACTTAACTCTGGGGGGTCTGTTGCAGACACACACGTAGGTACGAGCATACAGAGCAGGATAAAGATGGACATCCCCAAAGGCTGCACCACTGCAAGATGTCATTGCCAGTAATGCAAGCCTTACAAAAGGCTTTAACTGAATATAAAGCAATTGCAAAAACAAACAAACAAACCAACACAAAATAAGCAACTGGAGGTTCATTCAGCTTGATCAGATAGAAAAATAAACAAAAGGAGGAACTCATGGGCCAAATGAACTAAGTGCACTGGAAGTCAGCTCAGCTCAAAATAATTAAGTGAATAAAGATCTCTCTGAAAGATATTTCCTTTGGATATCTCCTTATGGATGGCACAGTTAAAGGCATTACAGAGCAAAAAGTTAACCATCCCCTTTAAAATAAAACAAGATGCAAAGCAGTTATTGAATGGGAGACCCACAATGAAAAAATCACCTCTGTATGGTCCAAAACTAAGGATGTGTTTTGCTGGAATATATGTGAAAGAGAAAGCAAATCAACAGGGGGAAAGAGGGACACAAATCTGGAAGGTGATGCAACTGAAAGAGAAGCAAGATGCCAAGTAATCTGCCAGAAGGCACAGCTGGAAATCGGGAAGGATTGCTGTTATTCAGAGATGTTCTCAAATGATCAATGAACCCTAAAGACAGTACTTACTGAAACACAGAGTTGCCAAGGTTGGAAAAGACCTCCAAGATCATCCAGCCAACTGTCCACCTACCACTAATATTTCCCACTAAATCACATCCCTAGGTACAACACCTCAATACCTCTTGTGTTTCTTGAACACAAGAAATCGTTTTTTGAACTCACGATTTGAGGGAAGAAATGATTTTAAAAAAATAATCATCATCAGAACAGATCCAGTGCTTTGACTTTAGCAGTACATAAAATTTTAAAACATATTTTAATGGAAAGAATAACTAAAGGTGTTGAAGATAAACAAAATTTGAAGTAACGGGTAAACCTGTGTCAAGTTTCAGCTCGGCAGGTTGACACACATTCATTTTCTTTAATGAAATAACTGATTTTATAGATTAAAAGCTCAATTTCAATTGTAAATTTCAGAAAAGCACAGAGCACCAGATGGGAAATTATTAAACCAGAGAAGAAAGTGATTAAGTAAAGGATCTGGGCAAGAAATCTGAAGCCAGGATCTTAAGAGTATGAAGGGAAAAAACAGAACCGGAAAACAGCACAAAGATGGGCAAGCCAAACTAGCACAGCACAAACTGCCCTAGCAGTTACACTCTCCCTGTACAGGCACGTGCTTGTAATATCCACCACCACACCAGCAGATAAGTCTGCCAGCATCCCACCAGCACATTTCTGAGCATTTTAAACTGGCTGGTTAAACTGCAGCTGGAAGAAGTGCTCCAAAACCAAGAGGCGGTTGATGAGCTTGGAGTAATCAAAGTTAGTTGCTAAAAAGGATTTCGTGTATAAAAAAAAAAAAGTGATAGTCTTTAAATGTGCAGAAGGTAATTTCAAATTCTCTGCCTTTTCTCTGGAAGGATTAGGAGCAAGCTTTGGTTACAGCAAGACAGATTTGGAATGAGCATTAGGAAGTCATGCATTTCTACAAATATCAGTGAGGTTTTTTGATTGATTTTTGATTATCAGTTATGTGCAGCTTTGTGCACTAGTCTGGCACCTGGCCCCTCTGCAGACCACCTGTTGTCTGCAGAAATCAACTGGAAGTAAGGAAGCCTCTAAGCACAGGCTGAAGAAGTACAGCCATGAACAATTAGAGCAGCTTCAAACTATCTCCACAACCAAACTATGCATTTGGAGCCAGGAACCAGACACGATGATCCTTATGGGTCCTTCCAACTTGGGATATTCTTTGATCCTATGATTCACACAGTGCTGGACTGAGTAGAGGACAGAAGCAGATACAGCTCTCTAACTGTGGATGACAGTCAGCAAAAGCTTGATTTTTAAGAAGTGACTGCAACTCTAGCTGCAGTACAGGCTCAAAGACTTGGCCAAAGCACCAGAATGGTAGACAACCTGCAGAAACAACCACACGTAGACTGGAGTGGTGCACAAAGCCCATCAGCTCCCTGCACCGTTTCACAACAGCCCTCACTGAACTTAACCAGCCTCCAGAACAGAAGTCTCAAGAAAGAAGCCCAAGCTGGAACAAACAACACCCAGTGCCCACTCAAATGCTCTTCCAGCCCCAGGCCTGACTCTAGGCCCAGCTGTTCCGGTGTAGACTTACCCACACAACATTTGCAGGATGTTCTGGGGATGGCTAGAGCTGAATGCCTACAGATAGACCCTCTGCTCTTCCTACAGTATTGAGGCCTTTTCCCTGACCTGATGATACAAGCTCATCAATTCTACTGCAACAGTGCAGCACTAACAGCTCTATTTTTTTGTAGTAAGTTGTTAAGGTCCCCTCACCCAAAGAGCATTTCTAAAGGCACAAGGCGTTCAAGTAGCTCTTGCTGTGTCCAGCTAACCTGTTCCCAAACTACCCCCAAGATGTAAGCAGGGAAAACAACTGTTCCAGGATACAGTCACCTCTACAGAAGCTGAGAAACCTTTGCAGGACAGATCATACTCAACAGGAAAGCTTATTTCAGAACTGCCACTTTCAGCTCTGAAAGGTGACTTCTTTGATAGGACAGATTTAGCCCAAATCACAGTACACCTATTGTACACCTATAGTCCAGCCTCAAACATATGAAGATACCATTAAGAAATCACCAGTCACCCATTACTCCCCTCTGCCATTCCAGCCAGACTTCTTCCACTAACGACCTACCTGTGCTGTGTGCATCTTATAACTGCCCTGAAGAAACTCGCCCTCATCCCCAGCTCTGACATCACCACAGTCCTCCAGCATGCGCACCCGCATGCCACACACAAGGTTTGCCTTCAAATACTCCACATAGTCATTCCGGTCAGCAAAGTCTGATGGGGTCATGAAGGCACAACTTTGCTTTTTCTGGCAACCATGGTTAGAAGAGAGCACAGGCACTGGGTTAGCAATGCAGGCTGGGGTTTTAGGCTGGAAGATGGAGCGGGTGGTGCGAGGCTTCGTCTCCTGCTGGGATGGTGACTCCAGCTTGTGGCTGTGGTCCCAGCCCATCACGTGCACCAGCTCCAAGATGAGGCTTGCCATAGCCATGCTGAACTCAAACTCCTGCTTTACACGGCTGCTCTTCTGCCGCTCCTCGCTCTGCTCCTCACTGCTGTTGAGCTTGTCCAGGAGAGAAGTGACGCACAGGTAGCGCTTCACCAGGGCGAACAGCTGCTTCCCGGGGATCTGCAACAGGCAGGGCTGTCAGACTGCAGCTGGCCAAGCACCTCACTCCCTCACCAGCTCAATCACAGCTCTGCAATGGCTGCAGACCAGCGGGCAGCAACACAGCTCCCCTTCAGCCCACTCTGCCCACAGACAGGCTCTCCTCCTGCTTCCTCACTGCACCTCAGCCTCGAGCCAGGCCCAGACCCTGCGCCAGCCCTTGTAATACCAGGTCCTGCTCAGCTGCCTACTGTCAACCACCACCCTTCTTTCCCAACCAAGCAGGACATCAGCCAGCTATAGTGCCCCACTCTCATTCCTGCCCATTCCAGAACTGGCAGGCCTTGCCACTACCTGGGGGAGATGAATCCCCTCAAAGGACACACAGTGCTCTTCAGAGGACATCATCTCAGCAAACAGCTCCAGCAAGGTGTAACGGCCATCGAAGTCCATGTGCTGCTCAATGCCATCCTGCTGGCTCAGAGACAGAAGGATATAGGTCCGACTCCCTGTAACAACAACAGAAACCATTCAAGCTTCCTAAAGAGCACTCTTACATCATCCTCCTTGCATCAGACAGACTTTGGAAGGCAAGAAACAGTTTTGCTGCTCAGTGCCCTGTTTAGTATTTTTATTTATTATCTAGACAAGGGGACTGAATGCACCCTCACTAAGATTGCATATTTCAGGAAGTTGTGAGAAAGTGTTGATCTGCATGAGGGCAGTGGGGACTACATCTGGATAGACTCGATCAATGGGCAGAGGCCAATTGTATCATAGAATCACAGAATCACAAGGTTGGAAATGACCTATAAGATCATCTAGTCCAACCGTCTTCATACTGCCACTGCTACCACAAGTATGAGCTTTAACAAGACCAAGTGCCAGGTACTGTATTTTGGTCACACAAGCCCCACGCAGCGCTGCAGCCTTGGGACCATGGCTGGCAAGCTGTGCGCAGGTAAAGGCTGCGGAGCCGTTAGCTGAACGTGAGCCAGCAGTGTGCCCAGGTGGCCAAGGAGGCCGACGGCACCCCGGCGTGTGTCAGCAGCAGGAGGTGACCGTCCCTCCGCACTGGCACTGGGGAGGCCGCACCTCGGTGCTGCGCTCCGTGCTGGGCCCTCACTGCAGGAAAGGCACCGAGGGCTGCAGCGTGTGCAGAGAAGGGCAGCGGAGCTGTGAGGGGTCTGGAGCACAAGTGTGATGGGCCGCGGCTGAGGGAAGCGGGGCTGTTCGGTCTGGAGAAGAGGAGGCTCAGGGGAGACCTCGTGGCTCTCTGCAACGACCCGAAAGGAGGCTGTGTGAGGTGGGGTCGGCCTCTGCTCCCAGGGAACGGCCATAGGACGAGAGGGGATGGCCTCACGTTGTGCCAGGGGAGGTTCAGGTTGGCTGCTAGGAAACACTTATTCTCTGAAAGAGCAGTGAGGCAGTGGCATAGCCTGTCCAGGAAGGTGGTGGGGTCATCATCCCTGGAGGTGTTCAAAAAACAGGAAGATGTGCTACTCAGGTCAGTGGGCATGGGCTGGCAGTTGGACTGGATGATCATATAGTAGCCTTTACCACTTTTTGATTCTGTGGTTCTATGATCTGCAGCCTGTCCTTTGAGTTAAATTGATGACATTTTGCTCTGCCAAGTAACATCGCATTTCTGCATCCCAAGGGCTGTTTGGATTCCCCCAAACCAGCAACCCCAAACTACTGACTCCAAAGCAGATGTCCAGGAAACAATAAGGGTCACATTTTAAACCCAATCTGCCTCCCAGCTGTCCCACAGCAGTGTGACCCAGCACCAGGACAGGACAAGCCACACAACTCTTGTGGGACACCACATGCCAGATGGACACACCACCACTTCTGCTGGTCCACAGCAACCCACTGGCTGCACCCAACACATCGGGCACCTCCGAGCCACGGCAGCTCCTCCCTGCCGAGAGCCTCGGGCAGGATCAGCCTC